GACTTGTCGTTATGTCTGTCTGTCTGTGTGTCTGTGTGGTGGCGTGTTCAGCTCGGGGGAAAGGAAGCAGCCCGTCATGCTCCACCGCGCAATCTTCGGTTCGCTGGAGCGTTTCTTCGGCATCCTGGTGGAGAACACCGCGGGCACCTTCCCCTTGTGGCTGGCACCGGAGCAGATGCGGCTGCTGCCCGTCACCGACGTTGCCAGGGACTACTGCCTAGAGGTATGTCCGTTGAGCTCCTACTATAGCAATGGCGACTTGGCGTAGCCGTAGTTGTTGGTTGGATTCGCTGAGCTTTGATAATGTCGACTTGACGCTCATCGTAGGCGAAGTCCTTTCTTGTTGTTCTTGTTGTTGTTGGTGGTGGTGGTGTTGGTGTTGGTGGTGGTGGTGGTCCATTTTTTTTTCGCCTATTGTCTAACCAGGTTTGCTTTCTCGAATCCGCCCGGGCGTACTCGTCAAGCGACAAGCAGTGTTGTTTCGACTTTGTCGCCGACACTGCTGCTCCCTCAAACCCGTGGACGAATTATTTTTCAGGCCAGACGGCCCTCCTCTGCCTTTCAGACGGTGGTGCCTCTGACACGGTTTGTACTCCCGGTTTTTTTCTCTTTTCCGTGCGGTATGTATTGTGGTCGTTCATTTTTCTGTTCTACTGTACATCTCTCTCTCTCTTTTGCTCTCTGTTCTTGTGCCACGTACATGGGAAAATTGTCGTGCTTTTTTCTTGGTTACAGCATTGTGAAGTAACGCGTGGTATGCCTGTCTCCATGATACTTGGTTTGATTGGTATGGTTGTGTACGAAGGTGTTAGATACGGCATGGCATTGAACTCTTTTGCGTGGTTGTTTGGGCGGCATCGCGACGACACAGGTGCAGTCGAAGTTCAAGAAGGCCGGGCTCCGAGTGAAGGTGGACAGAGGGTCAGAGCGGTTAGCCAAGCAGATCCGCACAGCAGAAAAGGTGAGAATTGCTGCATGGTGTGGGGTGGTGTGGTGACGTTGCTTTTGGTGTGGGGTGAGCATCGGCCATGTGTGTGGATACCAGGGTCGCAACGGCTACGGGTTTAACCCCAAGATCTAGACTAGGTCGTCAAGAGGGAACAGGGGGCGTTCGCCCGATTGACTTACACATGCCGTCTCTCATTCTGTTCGAGTCGAGACCTAGAGGTAGTAGAGAGTGTCGAATGCCCCCCAAGTCCCCAGCATACGCCGCGCTACCCGTGGCCATGAACCCAAAACAATCGACGAGGACAAGGACAGGAAGACAGAGAGCTCCTTTGGTCGGGTGTTGTACAGAACGCGAGGAGAATTTTGGGACTTGCGTGGCTGTATGTACATACTCACGTAACGTTTCGGCCCGTGCTTCGTCAGCTTGTATACACTGGCGTCTGTGCGCTTTCGACGCAAAGAGTCCGCCCGGAACAAATCCGAAGAAGAATGGACGAGCCTCGATTCTCCAACCAACTAAACAACTTGTCCACGTGACTTCCGTCGTCGAGTTGAGGTTGCGCTGCTGCTGACGCAGGGATGGGATGTTGCCGTGGGCGTTGCGTTCACTGGAGTGTCGGGGGTACACACACACACACACACACAATCTCTCTTGCCTGCCTGCAACCCCTCCCTCCCTCGATTCAATCTACCAACGAGCTGCCTAATGCCTGCTTGGGTTCCCTACCCCAACCCTGACCGCAACCCCATATAACCTAAAAGCTGCCGGATTTCTGTTTCCACGCTTGTTCACCTCGGCAACGCTCTGTTTTCACGCTTCGCCCTATTTTGCCCCCCCCCCAAAAAAAAAAAAAAAAACATGAAACCGCCAGGAGCGCATCCCGGTGATGTCCGTTGTCGGCGAGAAGGAGGTCGCCGCGGGGACCCTTGCCGTTCGTTCAAGAGGGTTCGGCGACATGGGGGACGTGCCCATCGATGAGCTGATCGCCAGCATGCTCGAGGCAGATGCCGCCGCCAAGGAGCTGCACGAATTCCTGGAGCCCAAGGCGAAGGAGGCGGCAGAAGCTGTGGACGTGTAAAAGTCTGACGGTGCCACTACGGCGGCACGGCAATAAAACAGTCAGCCGTGTTGCGTGGCGCTTTGTACGGCAGATCAATAACAGAGCCGTGTCGTGTGATGAAAACTGGATCCACCTTGGCATTTTCGTTGTAGGTTATCTTCTTTGGGCGTGCATGTGAGGTCTGTAGAATTTTGGCGATTTATTTTTGTCCGCGAGGGGAAGACATCTGGAGGGTGGTGAACGCTTCCTCCCGAAATGACGTGTGTTGCTACAATACACACGTGTGCTACGGAATATTAATCTTCGCCGTGTTGGTGTTGTCGCCTGTCACAAGAGGACTGGTCGAACAGCAGGTTGTACTTGTATGTGATGAACTACTACTGTACGTGCCCGAACGATTTCGCTTGTTGCTGAGCGGTGTTTCATTGCTGGGGCTGACCGTGCCACTCAGTGTGATCGATGACGAACGTGGTGTCCGTATCGGCAGATGAATAAAAAACGCGGCGTAAACTCGGCAATGCTTGTCCGAAACGTCGTGTACAAGTGGACGTACCCCACGCTTCTTCGCGCGCGCACCTGGGTTGTAATTTTGTCAAGTTGACGCAAAGTCTCACGCGGCGCTGTCACCAACTACTGTACTCAGAGTTGTCGTGTATGACGTTACACAATATTTGGGTTTGGCTCGTGAGGGCATTTGAGTGTACCGCCTGCAATTTCGTCGGTGAACCCTCACACCGACGGCAGAAGAGCTTTCTCCTCTCTGTTCCTGCGTGGGATTAAAGTCATGTGGTAACAACTTGAACCTCACACACGAGGCTCACGTGGAGACTTTTCCCCAAGCCAGAGAGTGTTGTGCGGCATGGGCGACACACACACACACATAGCGTTTTGATCTCACACCCACATCCCCTCGGACCGAGCTCGATTGTTTCGCCACTACGCGCCAGCACAGGGTAGTCACGTCCAGTACCCACTGCTGCCGAACGGTTCCCAATTGGAAAGCTTAAGCTTTGGACCAAATCTCCCATCTTCCTGGCCAAAGTCACCTTTTTGGGTGCAGCACTTCAATCTCTCTGGCGGGTTCAGAGCGAATCAAGCAGGTGGGGGGGGGGGAGTTGGTACCACCCCCCTAGACTGATCCTTGGTATTTCCGTTCGCATGGCATTAGTGCCATGTTCATACTATACTGTGTGAAGTTTGCAAATAGCAATCATACATGGTGATCATGTTTCAACACTTTTCCATGCCCCCAGACGGCGAATACATGGAGAAGCCAACATGCATGGGGAGAGGGAGGGGATGGTACCGAAATGCCCCCTGTTTCCAAAACTGCCCCGTACCTACCTACCGCAACCAGACGGACCGTTGGCAAAATGCCCTACAGCTCTGTTTCCAGATCTTCACAGCTACTACTACTGCCTACTACACCCTTCAATTTTCTGCAGTAATCTAATGCATGCATGCTCTCTTTGGTCCTCTTGCAGCTTGCACGATCGATCATGCGCTCTCTTCATAAGTATAATTAAATACCGCCCTGTTCTCTAGCACGCCTGCCTCCTGTCACCTGTTCTTCAAAAACAGCAGAGAGCGGGGTTTACGTGGTTACACACTAACCCAAGGCGTAATTAAAAAAAAATAAAACCAATCCAGAGTACAATACTCGGAGGACATAAAGGCACACATTCGCCAAAACAAGAAAATTCAAAGACGAACAAACAAGAACTGCAGAGAACACTAGCAGGGTAGGCCAGGGAATTAGCTCTCCGCCCACCCCCCAATAGCAAGTAGAGTCCATCTCTCGACAGAAACAAGCAAACGTAACTACGTTCATGTGATGTTACCGCTCACTACTACAAATAAAGAGGGCTATTGCATCTATCTTCGCGCCTCAGCGAACCATACCTGGTAAGCGTGCTAGGAAAGAAATTCGTAAACTTTGGTGTCCGTCTCGAAAAAACAGAGCTCTCCCACCCCACCTTGCCCTCGGAGTTCTAATTGTGTTTGTTTAACAGAAACCAGAGAATAAACTGGCAAAAGAAGAATACCGTATTTACTTCGGAGTAATATTGCATCACGTACGTACGTGCAAATGCCAATCAATCCCAAGTGATGACTCTTCTTGCAGTACACGCTCAACCCAGCATGTGTGTGCGCTGTAGGCTGAGACTCTTCCCCAAAACCAGGTATTCTTGTAGTCCAGCTCTAACATGGTTTACCCAACATGGGGTCCATCAATGAATCGAACCATACGTCACTGGTCCAATGCTTGTATGCTCTCAAGCTGCTCTACGAGCGGACCCACCTATATACACAGCAGATAGACTATCTTCTCATCAAACCTTCCGTCGTCGGTTGGTACGCACCCGTCTACACCAAGGTTTGTTTGTCTCTGATCTACCACAGCATTCCTTCTCAACTAGCCTGTCTGTCTGTGTCCCTGACCCTATACATCAAGGGTGGACGGACGAATGCGATAAATTGGCTCGGAATGCTAAAATAAAAGAACAGGTCTAATACACTCACAAATACGTAAAAAAAAAAAAACGTCAAGCTGTACGGGGCAGAGTCGGCAACAACAGCACACCGGGCGTGAGTTTTGCCACGCAATCGGCCACCGATGGCGCGAAGCCCATTCTTTCTCCTCTCCTGCGGCCAGCGGCGGGGGGGGGAGGGGGGGGGGAG